GAGCAACATTGTAACACTATATGGAGTAACTGCACTTTTTTTTTTTTATTTTTTATGCTGAAATGTTAGGAACAGCAGATGACAGGGCTGCATGCTTGCATTTAATTTACATACCCTTCAAGCCCTCCTTGTCTTGTCCTTGTTATAACTACTACCACATCAGCCGCCTAACAAGCTTTATAACCAAGGTTTTTCATCAAGCAACATTGTTCAAAGAATTGAGGTCAAACTGGCAGTTGCTGACCTCTTCATTCACATAATAAATCCTGATTATTCTAGGGTTACAGTTCATGTAAATAATCTGATCGTTATATATTTTACTGGGCATTCACACCTAGCATAATATTTTTATAAGTGCATGAAAATGGAATAAATCATATGCTTAGGTGTTGTGGCCAAAAAAAAAAAAGAAACAAACAAAAAGGAAAAAAGAACTGACAAGTGTAAAATGGAGATATTCAAAAACACATTCACTATTATGCAGAAAAAACAATGAAAAACACTATTCTTCCTCAACAATTTTCTGTAATGAAATACATTTCAGTATTTCATTACATATCAGGAAACCTGTTTAGTTTCCTGCTGCAGCTGGTTAGTGGGCCTACTGGAGAGGTGCCCTGCTAGACCTTCTGTTCACAAACAGAGGACTGGTAGGAGACACTGTGGTGGTGGGAGCTGTCTTGGGCAGAGTGACCAAGAAATGGTAGAGTTCTCTACTCTTGGTGAAGTCAGGAGGGGGATCAGTAAATCTGCTGTCTTGGACTTCCAGAGGGCAGACTCTGAGCTGTTCAGGACACTGGTTGGCAGAGTCCCTTGGGAGGCAGTTCTGAAGGGCAGAGGAGTCCAGTAAGGCTGGGCACTCTTCAAGAAGGAAATCTTAAAGGCTCAGGAGTGGTCTGTCCCCATGTGCCCAAAGACAAGCCGGTGCAGAAGACCACCAGCCTGGCTGAACAGAGAGTTATGGCTAGAGTTTAAGAGAAAAAATAATTCCATGTTCAATGAAAATATTCACTACAGGTATAAAAACTGCATCCTGCACCAAAAAGAAAATTGTCATTTGACACAAGCAAAAGCAATTTGTGTTCTCAGAAACAAGCCTATGGAGAGCTTGTTTCTTGTTTTTCATGCCCACTTTCTTGCCACTCCCCTGTACTATTGATGGTACTACTAGGCTTTCACTGGTTTTAAAACAATTTTCCCATCCCCCTTTCATCTGCCACTAACATCTCAAAATTTGTCATATATCAGAGATATAGACAACATGCTTCTGGACTTCAAAAGCCCCCTCCCATTAGTCTCTTAATTCTTAATCCAGTACAGATTAATTTGCCTGTACAACTATTCTGAATCTGCTGTAGATTTTACAAGAGACCAAGCTCCCATCAGTAGCCTAAGAGCAAAGAAGAAGATACATCTGTTGTCTTCCTGTCTTCACATTTTCATTTTTGATAGAATTGAACTGGGCTTAAGTATCAAGCACTCTGTGGCAGTAGAACCCTTGTGCATGATTATAGCTGGTCAAGAATGTTTCAACAAAACCTTTTTCTAATGAGAAGCTTTTGATTAAACAAATGTTCTCTAGAAAAATGAATGCCTTTCAATAAATAGTCATCTTACTGAATATTTTTAAAACTTTAAATGAGAAGAGCATTTTCATCTGCAAATTTAACTGTTCTCTAAAACATTCAAGTCTCATCAAGCCTATTCATCACAAAAAGTTATGTTTAATAATGCTACAAAACAATACTATTTTCCTTCATTTCCATAAAAATGTTATATGATGGGGAAAAAAAAATGTTCCAACTTTTATAGAAGCTTTTTCTCTTTTGTTATCTTCATAGATACATAATCCAGATAGATTGCAAAGGTTAGCACTTACAATTCAGTTTCATATACAAAAATTTAAAAAAATGCAGTCAAATGCCTCATCTCCTGAGTTATACAACTTCGTAAATAGCTCATTTTCATCTGTGTAGCCTATGACCAGTGTAATCCCATTTTAAATTCAGAAACAGAAAATCTTCATTATTACCTACTTGAGGTCCTTGCAACTTTTTTTTTTTTTTTTTTAAACTACCAACGTAGTCTGAGATCTTACATATCAACTCTGGTTATCTAAGGCCCAAACACAACACAAGCTAAGAAAGTGCTGTGTTGCAAAATAAACAAATAAATACATAAATTCTATGACAGTGCTTTCTAAGAAATCAGAGAGAAGAAATTACAGGAAAATCTAGAAAGTTTTGTACGCAGCACAAAGAAGATGACCTTAGTAATGAATTAGCATGCACTAAATTTGCAACTGCCAACTAACTAGGAGAGGCTGCAGGCATCAGAATAAGAATTCAAAATGACACAAAAATAAACATATGAAATGGGAACACCTGATGTTCTAAAATCCTGTTGGAAAAGATCCAGAGGCAGCAATTTTTTCCCAGAAATTATTGAAAAAGTAGGTGTCATGGGTCACAAACAGAAGTTTAGTCAGCAGTGCCACTCTTGGGGACAAAAGGAAAAACAAACAAACAAACGGTACACAGGAATAAGTATAAACAAGACCATCACCAGAAAGTCACATAAGAATTTCTACACTTCACAATGTGGTTTTGCCACAACTGGGTGGAGTGGGGCATGACATTTTATTAGAAAGCTGCCTACACTAGCCCCCTGGAAAACAAGAGTGAACTGGAAAACACAGTCTGTGAAGAAAGACTTAAAGCACTAGAATTATTTAGTCTACATAAAACAAGAGTGAGGGGAAGGTATGAAGGCAATATTCATATTTTTATATATATATATATATGCATATATATATATATATACACACACTCTTATATATAAAAGATGGCTCCAAAGTAGGGACTAATGATTTGTTCTTGTCCACTATAGGTACAAAATGGCAGGCTTCAATTGCACTGAAGAAGTTTTAGTATGGACATTAGGGAACACAATCCTCCGGTAGCAAGGATAGGCTAGTACCTGAATAAATGATTGCTGCAGAATCCCCAGGCTTGCTGGGTTTAAAGCAAGCCATTCAGGTATAATTAAGCCCACCTTGAGGCTGGATCTGTCATGTAGCCCACAGTAAATGACATATTTAACACCCCTTCTGATCTTACTGAGTATTAATGGCTGCAACCCCCATCGTATTCAAGAGGGTATCACTTCATATCCACTAGAGGTGGTGTAATTAACAACAGAAAGCAAAGCAATGGTGAGTGAGGCCCAGTACAATATCACACGTAGCTTGAAGTAAGCAGCATACTGTGTCAGGTCTTGCATCTACTGCCCCACATAGGTGCAAGTACCCAACTAAATTATTCCAAAGTTCTGATAGCACATTTGGAAAGACACAAGCCCTTCCTTCATTCTAACCGTGATTAAGAACAACTTCAACACTAAGCTCTTGCACTGTAGCTTTGCTTACATGGCAACTTTTGAGTTTTCTTCATGGCCAGGATATTTTTTTAGAGGAATCTGTTCTCTCTCCCTAAACAAGTTCTGTGCATGTGCATATATGCTCGTAAAGAAGACAAATTCTCACTCTAATAGTAATCCATAATTTGTGTGCTACTTTTCCAATGAAGCCTCACAGCTTTCTTTTAGAACTACAGCTTTGTGAGTACCTGGTTTACTCTTCCTGTATTGAACACACATGAAACTCTATTTCAGATTTTAAAAGGATAAGAGAATGTGTGTCATCATTAGTGAAAATATTCAATTTTGATACTTGGAAAATGCTTCTAATATAAACTTAAGGATTTGTTTCCATGTCTCCTACGAAATGTTTAAGAAAAATCCATATGTTTCTTTTGCTTGACATTTTTGGGGAAAAAAATGTAAGAGTCTATCCTCCTTATTCACATCTAGTGTAAAGACCAAAAGTTCAAACGATTAGAATTGCAGCTTGAATACACGTGTTTGCTAACTGAATTCAAATGAAATCTTGATTGTTTCCTTCATTATCTTTGTATCTTGACTCCATGTAAACAGTACTTAGACCAGGGCATGAAATGGTGCCGATTTCATCCGGCTTTAGTGAAATTATCCTGATGCTACCAATTTAAAAGTAAAATAAGGTTTATTATTTACTGTTTTTGTACTTTGTTTCACCTTTCAGCACAATACAACAAGCAACAGAATTGTATGTTACCTCTCACAAACCCTGTTCTTAAAGACTAAAGACCTGGTGCACTCACAGTAATTGCCTTAAAGGCATTTTTATTTTATGCTTATAAAATATTACCTTGGCTTTGAAAACTTGATGCCACTATACAAGGTTATTTATTTACATTCCTTCTTAAAATTAAATCATATTTGTGTATGCAAATGCACTATGTGGGAGGGTTTAAAAACTCGCAAGTAAATCCTAGAGCACTCAGAGGTAGAAATTATTATCCATTTATCTATAATGATTAACAGTTAAAATGCACTCTCTGCTGTTCCCTGTGTCTCAGGAAGAACAGAAGCTTTTGTTTTCCTGAAATGAAAAGCCCCATCTCTTTTTACAGTAAATGCCTTAAAAAGGGACTCTCATGGCACGAAGCCAGATAAATTTAAAATACACCCATCACATACTAAAGAATGAGTTAAATCCATGAGCTTTGTTTATGAGACATTAACTCAAATATGGATTGACAATATATGAAATTATAGTTTCCTTATATATATTAACTTGCATAGGGTACTTTACACATAAGCTTTACATATCACTTTATAAAGTCTAAGTGTTGAAAAAAAAGCACGATAAGCCCTTCCGAGAGCAGGAATAGGCCTTAATAACAAGATGACACAGTATATCTTATTTTAGGAACATTATTTTTCAGATGTCCACTATTCAAAAACAAATAAACAATAATACCCCAACCCCCTCAACTGAACAATGTAACCAGATGACATTCCCTGCTCTAGCAGGGAAGAAAGAATGGGTTTGATTTTTTTCTTTTCCTTTCTTCTTTTTTTTTTTTTTTTAAAGGAATGATTTTGCCTTTTTTTTTTTTTCATTTAGGCTTCACACTTTTCCTGAGGCCTCTGGGCTCCTGTCCAGGCCACAATACTTCACAATTGACTTTGATTTTCTGAGGTAAGTGATCTGTCGCTTTCTGAGCAGTTATAGGAGGGGTCAGGAGTGAGGTGGCATGGTATGGCCTCACTCTGGCTCCTGCCTCCCTGACATTGTACACGCTAATGCAATGTGAAGTAGCACGTCTAAATAGCCTGTCAAACTTTTTTGATGTTAGCAAACCCACAGATGGGATTCATTTCCACGCTGTTCAAAAAACGTAAACGATACAAGGACATTAAAGAGCATTAAACTACTTGATGACATTTTGGTCACATTAATGAAAAGTGGCGTTTATAAACTACTACAAAAAGATGAGGGGGGGGGGGGGAAGAGGGCAGAGAGAGAATAGAAAGAGAAAGGGAAGGAGAAGTGAGGAGGGAAAAAGGAATTAAAATCAATTTTAAAAACCCCAGAAGGAGCTGAATAGTCTCTGGACACCATCAAAGAAATTAGGGCCTTAAACCCCAGAGTGAACTTTTCCCTATATGCATGCACGTGTGCCTGTGCTAACACTTGGGTGAAAAGACCCAAAATGGCCAGGGATTCCTGAGAGGGAAGCGTAACTGCATGCTTTTGGCTACGCTTACATCTGTTCACTCATTGAGGTTAGTACCTTACAGCATCCCATTGATGATACCAGTGATGAAAATGTTGCTGAATGTAAGAAAGGGTTTCAAAATCCAACCTCACCAGCTTAGTCCCACTCAGCTGAAGTCTAGTTTGTCATTCAGTGACATATGTGAAGATATTTCCCACAGCATCCAAGAGCATGAGGTCACACTACAGCCCGTAAAGCTGCAAGGGACTCTAGCACACATATCAAGAGATTGACAACGCTCAATGGGCTGAGCAATAGTAAGGCTGACAATATGAAAACATTTGGCCACGGAAAGATCAGAGATCCAGTCCTGACACTTGCACAACCTGTTAGGCACGTTCAAATAAGGACTGGAATCTGTCTGGCTATAAGGGTTAAGAAACTGCTGGTTCATCTGCTGGAACAGCAGAGGCCTTGGAGCTGGCTGCACCCGGATGCCAGCCTTGCTGGGAAGAAGGGCAGACAGAAGACATGCTGCTCTGGCTACGCCAGTGCCACTAGCAGCCGCAGCATTTTTTTTTTTTTCCAGTATTCGCGGTTACATTAATTGCTAATGACAAAGGCAACCTTCACTCTGTGTGGTTTCCTGCCCATATTTGGATCCTTTACAAGACCCCCCTTTTTCTTCCTCTCCTCCCCCTACCATCATGCCTTCCCTTTTTCTGATAGGAAATGCAACCCGAGATGTGCGAAAAAACAGTGCGCATATTGTCATTTAATTGGCCCCTTGCTCAGGCGCATCGGGCCTCAGCGCGTGTGCTGTAGGGTGTCTGCTCCACAACAGGAAAGAATAAACCCAGACTCAAATCATAGGAAATTCATCAAATATGCTTCTTAGAGTTCTGTCTTTCAAGGTCTGTTTCCCTGCCATATGATCTCTATAAACCAAATTACTGCTGGCCTGAGTACAAGACTGGAGGCGCCTGGGGCTAGCATATAATGAATGCCAAATGCATGTGACAATAGACTGATCATGGAGAAGAATTGAAAATTTTTTAAGTAGTTCTTTTACTTCATTTATAAAAACCAAACTGACTACACTTAATATCTTTAAAAGGAGCCAATCATTTCCCTGCAGTTCCAGACGTGCATAACAAACCTTTTATATCAACCCCATTAAACAGCTAGAACACAAGATACATTGGAATAATGCTGAAAAAAGTATAAAAGAGAAAGTAAATGAAAAATACCTTGTTTTAGGTGGGGAGGAGTATATACATTATTGAATTAGCTCAACTTTTCCTGTTATGAGCCTTTGCACATAAAGATTCTGCCCTTCACTTGCAATGCAACAAGAGGGTAAACTTCTGCTGGAATGTATCTCCCAGAACTGAGATTCTAAAAAAGTATGAAAGCTGCTTAAAGGCTAGACTGATGTAAGATGAATGATTTTTATTAATTTGTGCAATAAACAGTCAACCAGAAATTTCTATCCCTATGTTGCCAATTACTCCAAATAACCTAACAAATGTTGCTATTGCAGCATCACAGGAAATGTGAAATCTCCAGAAGAAAAAATATTACATTCTTTACTACAGACAGAGGGTAATTAATACTGCTTTTTAGGTTTTAGAAAATACTGCACTTAGAACTGCAAGTCAACTAACAGACCGTCTATAACCTATAAATGCTTCCATATTCACAGACATCAGCAGTCTTGGAGTTACAAAAAAGTAATAATACATACATATTAATGGATTGCAGTTTGTCCTTCGGGGAATATATTTTTTAAAAGGGCTAAGGCAGCAATAATAGCTCCTCTAAAGCCTCTAAATGCTATAATTGTTTTATATGAATTACAGTGCTCGTATTAATTAATGATGAATGTTTTGTGTATGTAAGTATTTGATGGATGCAGCCAAAGAAAAAATGAAATGGTCTGTCTTTTAAGTTGACATTAAAAAAAAAATGCTGCTGTTTGAAGGTTTGGATCTGGTTAAATACAAGATTATTTTAACCACATTTCAATGAGGAACATGAAATACGGCCCATGAGGTCATGCAATTCAGCAAAACATTTTTTTCTTTCCCTTTTTTTTTTTTTTCTGCAGTTAAATAGAAACAAAAGCAAAATTGCCAGAATACCTCTTTAGTCATATATTATCAAAGTGCTTAAGAAAACTGCCTATAGCTATTAAGTTGTATCCATAGTGCAGTTTGTTGAAAAACTCTAAAGATGCACTGACCTGCACACTCCTAGTGCTCCTCTTGAAAACGGTAGCTGTGTTTGACATGCTAGGAACACACATGGACAAATAGGTCTCAGTCGATATTGTGGAGAGTTACTGCATGGAGTGAAAAGGAAACCTGAAACAAGGTAAAGAGAAGAGCTTTCAGGAACTGCATTGCAATTCTGGATTATCTATCTCTAAATTCTATTAGATGAAGCCTAATTTCTATTAGATGGAGACATCTAATTTCTATGTTGTGGTATCCTTTTTCTTGGTATTGGTTGTATCTACAATCCTGTACAGAGCAGGTTCTGTTCTTCTGTCACTATAAATCAGTTGGAAATAGCTCTACTGAAATTAGTCATATTTAGCCAATATGAAACCACCAGCAGTGACATGGGGACCAGTATTAGAGCATCTATTCTGTCTATGTTTGCTTTGCTGTGTGTGAGCAAAAGAAATGCTTTTTCAAGAAACAAAATTCTGTTATCGCTGTTTTGAAGTCAGAAACAAGTGTAGAATTATTTTAATTTCAGTTTAAGATATTTATTCCTACCCATAGAACTTCCTTAACCTGACCATAAAAACAGGAGCTAGGCAAGATATTAGTTTGCATGGAAATATTTATCAAATACTTGTTTCTGATTTCATTACGCAGAATGCCATAATGTACATAAACACAAACGATTAGTTATTCTGGAGTATAAGAACAGCCATCACATGAAACATTCTCCATATTTCCCCCAGACATTTATAGACAAACAAGAATATCAATAGGCTACTTATAAAATAATGCAAAACAAGGCGTATAGTGACTACACAGTCATGCTTTTTAAATGAAACAAGAGAGCAAAATACTTTTGATGAAGTGTTGCACTCTCATAAAATCCCTTCCATGATTTTAAAACACCTTTGCTTCCTCTTCAGAGTTCTTTCAGGACTTTCAGTCTACACGTATTCATGACTAATTTATATCAGTTTCATCTTGTACCAATAATATTGCATTCGTAATTTCATTTACCTTCATGTCACTAACTATCCTATTTAAACAAATTTAGGAGAAGTCAGCAGAATACAACTTTTCTCTCTTGGCCACTGCTGCAATGAATCTAGAACCTCTGATTGCTCTCCATCATACCATCTGTAGGGCCACTAATCCCTAAGCAGTCACCTCAGTCAGGTCACTCTTTGTCTACTGTTTACTGCCAATGAGGTGCAGGACGTTTGAACTCTTCTGCATCAGCATGCTGAAACTTACAACAGCATATGGCCCTGGATCATGAATTTGCAACCTCAGAGATATTTAGAGCAGGTTCTCAAACTTTTTGGCTGTATGTGTGGCAGATTGTTGCATTTGAGATACAAAATTGCCTGAGGCATCACTGAATCCACAGAGATTTGGACAGACATTCAGTTGTATCAATAACAGTACAGTACAGCAGAAAAAGCATAGTACATTAGAAACAGCTATCATTACTTGGAATTGCCACTTCAGGCTTTGACATTCTTTTCTACTTCTATAAATTCCCTTGGCAAACTGAATATATAGTCAGCAACAGAAAAAAGAAATCTTTAACAACAAATAATCTCGATTATCTCAAATATACCTGGTCTATTTCTTCAGGAATGCACATGCATTGTATACTTTGCAAATATTCAAAGTGCATTTATATACAAATATATATATATATAAATTATATATATATGCATTGTATGCTTTGCAAACACAATAATCAGAAGTATAGAATTTCTTATTGGGTATTATATATAAAGTAACTGTTAAAAAAGCGATGTTACGAGGAGTATAAATTCAAGACCTCAAAGGTAGAAATAAAAAAAAAAATGAAGGTTGCCTGAATAAACTTAATTCAGTCTCCTTACTTAAAATCTGTCAATTTTCTACGAGATCCTGCATCTAAGAATACAAAGGAATACTAGTGTAGCAGCTGTTCAAAACTTTTTCTCTTTATTGTTCAGTGTACTGTCTCTGACTTTATAAAGTAGTGTCCAAGCCCAGTTTTGAAAACAGAATTACTAAGTCCTCTGTGACTTTTGGTAATACATATTATAACATCCTGGGGTTTTACCTTAATACATATCCATGTGTTAAGGGAATATTAACAGCTCTTACAGATAGGAACGGCACATGAATTAAAGACATCTACTTTCTTTTGGTTCTAAATCTCAGGTCCAAAGTACCTGCTTCAGACTATTTAGCTCTATGGATCAATCAGTTGCAACTATATATAC